ACTCCAAAATTCCAGAAAGGAAGCACCGAGACCTTAGGTCTAGCAAAGCACAAGTAAGGCCACTGAAATCAATATAACTTCTCCTAGTGATTAGCTGGTGGCTTGAGGTCCTAAATTGTGACAGGAGCCATCCAAAACCATCTATTTTGATGTAAATATGTGTATTACACATTGCTATGTTTATACTTCAATTTTCTGTCGGATTTAAGCTCTTCTAATAACTCCTGAAGTGTAAGAGACAGGTATAAATGACCTGTAATTGAATGTCGTTTGTCTGACAGGGGAAGTTAATAACATTTGTCTTTGAGGGAACTATAGCAAGAAACATAAATAGGAGCAGAACACTGTGTTCCTTCGTCAGTGTCTTGCACTAATCCTAATACGTGAGCAACCTACCAACACAACGTTATCAGATCAAAGTGGCCAGCCAATAATAAATCAGCCCTGGCAGTAGCAAGGCTCTCGCTGTACAACAATGTGACCTCCATTCTGGAAGAGATTTTATATTTTGTCAGAGATGTTTGCATTTGGTAAAAAGCAAGTCGCACCGGTACTTGGAAGATGTGCAGCACGGGTCGGAAAAACAAAGGGTAACATGGGGAAGGTGTAAATTCATACAGAGCATGTATTGATGAGTTATCTTCCAGCTACCCAGAGCAGCTGCAGGGGCCACTAAGTGTTTCCAAAACACAGCAGAATTGGACAGACAGCAGATGCTCGGTGGCGTGTGGGTTATAGCTCAGAGCTGGACATTATTGATTGCGAATGGCTCACTCACTGCTGGCATACAGGGGCAAAAGTAAACCTCTCTGAAAACTGAATATAGGTATATAATGAAACCTGCTTTCAAAGTTACTGGCATTTCCATCTACAGGAAAAATTGTCTTTTCATCTTAAAAACTATTTGAGAATAACAGTCAGTGCAGAAACCCCAGTATAATATATGAGACTATAATTTGCCCCCTTTGAAATGTGCTAGATGTGGAAGAGCAAAGTTCAGTATTCTTTTATTTATAGACATCTTGGTGACAGTGGGTGTTTTTTTTTGTAACTGTGTTCCTGCATGCTATCAGCATCCATCAATGCATTTTAGATAGATCCCAAACCAAAAGCTTTAGGGTTTTTCCATTCCCTCCCCTGCATTTTCCAAACCTTTGTAATCCCAGTCACAGACTGTACCAAAAGTCATGATGGGTGGATAAAGCATTAGCAAGAGTATCAAGAGGTACTGTTTCTATTGAAAAAATAAGAAGTATTTGGTTCAAAATTATTGGTTCGATTTAAACTGTTTTGAAGTCAATTGTGAGAATCTACTGACCCTGCTGCAGGATGAATTATTCCAAGAGATCCAGCACAAACATTCAGAGCTACTTTGCTAGAAGTAGCAGGATATCTCAAAACCAAAAAACCACACTAAAGGCACATATTTACTGTTTGTGTACTAAGCACAAAGAGAAGGGCATTAGAGCACACCAGGAGAGAGATAAGGTAACTTCTATTTTATGCCATGAAATCGCATCTGCCAACACGGTGTATCTGTTTGTGACCAGTGTAAATGAGCCTGGGAAAGTGAATAAGAAGGGATCTGTGCTGTTGGATGTACAGCTGATGGCAGAGGATGTGCCCTGTACTTTCTGTACTGTAGTACAAAGGAGGAAGGAAGGGCAGGTTGCATGATGGCAGTACCAAGCCATCAGGATTTCCTCCCTGAGAATTTCTGGTGAATGTCAGAGAGCATTGTGTATTACACAGATAGATATTGCATCAGTGTATAAATTATGCATGTACATCTGTGTCAGAAGAACGTAATCACGGGTCCAAAACTGGGCATGCAAAAGAAATGCTTGAACTGTGGTCACTTGTAAAACTTTGCTTAGTCTTCCCTGAGTAAATACATCAAGACACTATCTTTAAATCTAGAATTTAAGCACTGCTTTGATTTCCAAAGACATTTGAAATGCACACTGCTGTCCAAGTTTGGGCACAGATGTGGCCAGCTCGTACCCCCATCTCTGTGCAGATCATTCACAGGTAGGTAACATATGAAATCCGCATGGAACTGGTATTTTTTGGTGCCCTTGTGCATTCTCTAGTTTCTGTACAGCTTTGCTGTTGCACAGAACATCTATAAACATAACCCACGGTCACCTTTTGTACTTTCTCATTTTCTCCCCAAACAAGAATGGGCTGGTCTGGACTTTGCAGTAATCTCTGATGTACGAGCAGTCTATCTCCAGTGAGGCAGGGAAGGAGTCACAACCTCAGCCAGCGATCCGAGCTTGCTGGCAGGAGGAGGTGTGGGGCTCTGCCCTATATTTGAAGGCAAAATGCAAAACTTCACACAGACCAAAGGGACTCAAGTATTCACTTGACAGATGCAGAAATCTGCAGTTGCAGAACAGTTTCAGAGCCAGAGCACCCAAAACAAAACCTGCGTTTCCCTAGAGTAGGATCTGGCTGGTGATGGAAATGTCTTTCTGCCTTCCTATGCTTGCAGCACTGCTCTCTGTCTGTGTGTCTTGCAGGCACAAGCTCTTTCAGCTGCTGTCAAACTTTTTTCTCACCTTGAAATTTAGCTGTAAGGCAGTTCCTCTGAAGAGCCCAGCAACAGCAGCAAAGAGCAAAAGCACTGAAGACCATTGCTTCATAGCGCTTCACTGAACTCTCTCAGAGATTTGTATGAGACAGTGGCATTTTCACTGAAAGAATAATCAAAACTCCTCAAAGTGTTTAGGGAAAATATGGCAAGAATTTAAGTCTTGTGTTAGAAAAGTTGTTTGTATCATTCCTGAGAGAATTTATTTATAAATAATGTTGTAGTACATTAACTTCTTGTGCACCCAGTCCTACCCGATCCTCTTTCTGGCTCTTGAAGTGTTTAGATGGAAAATACAAATATATCTAATTATGCTTACTTATTGTCTGCCTCTTACATTTACAAAGATGCAACCAGGTTTAGAGCTAAACTACTGCACTTGTTTAAAAATGTGCTGTTTCAGAGACTCTTACGTAAAATGTTTGAGTTCTGGGTTCTGCTTGAACTTTGTTTTTTTGTTCTCTTAAATTTTTCATTGCTGTGTCATCAACATGGAGGAAAGGTGTGTGAACAAAAAGAGATGTGACAAACAAAAGGTCAGTGACATCTGTGTGCTCAGATCCTAAATCCACGTAGATACAGGTGTGAGAACTGGACAGTACACTTCGGGAAAGGACTGTGTTTACCCTGGGATTGACTCAGCATTTTTAATATCTCCCTGTCCAACTCCACAAGTTGTCTCTGGAAGCCAGAATAATGTACTGCTAAATATGATCAACGCTATTTGTATCCAGCTTGTGCTAACAAAAAAACCCAAACCAACACCCAAAAACCTCTGAAAATCATCAGGTCCTGGTAACATTTAGAATTACACACATAACAAAGCCCTCACTGGTGGGACCTTGTGCTGATTGCACTGAATTAAGCAAAAAGTGTTGCACCAAGGGACGTACAGGCACTGCCACACTCCCTTGAGAGGTGACAAACGTAGCAGCCTGTTTCTTTCTGTGCTAATTGTGCAATTGCTTTGTCATCATCGAGGCAATTCTTGCCTGCTCTTGCAGCAATCTGTGCTAGTCCTCTTGCTTTTTGTGTGTGCCCTTGCTGCGACCCCAGGCTGCCCTGGGATCTGCTGTCCCTGCTGCTGATGACAGGAGCTGGGTCGTGAGTGTCCCCAGGGACAGTGGCAGAGACCAGGGCTCTTTCACCCTTCATACTTACACACTCAGAGGTGTTAAATGAACAATGATGCAGTGCCTGTTTCTGGATCTGTACACAGCCCCACGCTCATATATCGCCTCTGCTGTCTGTCTGTAGGTTTTTCCATGATGTGCCTTTATCTTAGCAGTTTCATTTGATTCTCAGCATCTGAAACATGAGGTTCATACATCAAAAGGGGATCCCACCCCCATCTGAGAGGTTATGTCCATAAATGGTATTTAGATTTATAAACTGAGTAAAGCAGTTGCTATTTTAAGGAGATGCTGCTGAAAGTCTGGCTCTGACCCTCTGCAACTAGGTCTAAATAATAATTTTTAAATGTTCCACGGTGGTGAATCTGTCACCTGCCAGCAGATTCTCTGCTCTGCAGCAACAGGGGCTACAGGCAAAGGACCAGCAATGCACCATTTTATGTTAGTCCTAAACACTCAGTAAGAATTTAAAAGTTAAGGCCTCTTAAATAATAAGAAAATAGGAATATGGGTTGGAGAGGAAAGTGGGGGTTATTAGCCTTGTATGTAGTAGCCTTTTGTGCTTTTGGAAGTCACATTTCAGTCTTTGTTCTGCAACCACAAATGCTATAAACATGTTTATGAAAGAAGATTGAATTAATCATATTAAACAACAGCTCCCATAACTGAGGGCTCTCATAAAACAGAAAAGATTCCTTAAGTTGGAAATGCTGCCCAAGTGCAACGTGCTTTCAATTTACCTCTGGTTCTATGTCTTAAACTTTCACTTTCTGTTTTCCTTGCCCAAACCTTGTCAAATAATCTCACTACAGTGTATTGCTAAATCCCCAATTAATTAACATGCCATGGTTGTTTTCTGCCACTGCCTCACGGCCCTACTTTTACTGCTCTGCTCAGGAAGCTGTGTCATGAGGGTGTGTAAGTGCCACCGCGCTGACACCCGCAGCTGTGCACGATGACATCTCCAAATGAATCAAAAGGGAAAGGCAAATTTCAATGTGCACATCCTGGGCTGCAGCAGTGACTGATGTGGAAAATATTAACAAGTGGCATAATGAGTAGTGTATGTGGGAGTGCTGGGTGTACGTGGGGCTTCACTAAAAAAAGCCTTGTGCCGTCTGACAATTGTTTGAGTAAGTCTTAAGTCGACAGAGCAAGAACAAAGACTGCACCTAAGCTTTCTGGGCTGGCCTAAGTGAACAGCAAATCAAACAAGCAGGGAGCATCAGGTTTCTATTTTTAAACTGAAAGTTCCTTTTGGTTTTGTGCAGAACAGTGTGTGAGCAGTGAAGGGTGCACCTTTCTGTAATGTATGTGATGATGGGGAATCAATATGAGTCTGCTTCTGTTGGCTGGAAGCGTGGGAATGCGCACCACCTGTAAATATCACCTTCGTGCCCACTGGGACATGCAGGTGAAGTGTAATCAGTGTTAATAATCCTGGTGTGACTCCCAGCACGAGAGGTTATCAAGGCCCACTCTGTGGGTCAGGCTCCGGGTGCAGTGCAAACAGCTCCTCTGGGAACTATGCACGTAGGTTTAGCACTGTGTGCTATCAAGTATTCAACAGCTCTGAGTCACTTCTTAACCTTTCTCTCAACCACTTCAGTAGTTGGAAGTGATGAACAGTTTAGCCACCAAGCCCTGCCTTGCCACACGCTCTCACCCCAAACCAACAGCTGATACTTGCGACAGGGAGGTGGAAGGAGGTGTAGGGAGCTGGCTGCATTCTGTGCCAGAAATGCCAGAGCTGGCATCCCACTAGGGGTGAGGACATGTGGGCGAGAGGGTAGGATTGCAGCATCCTAAATATAGATGGGAAGTCCCCAGTTACGCTGCTGTGGGACTACATTCCAGTCTCTGACAATAGCACATGATTTTCAGACCGCATTTTTGCAGCATAATGCTGGGTTTGCCTTTTTCTTAAGTGCCTTGCACTGTGCTATTCCAGCTCTGGGTGTGTGAGCAACTTTGGCATAATATAGAAATATATCCCTGACATAAAGTTGGGCAAGTATTTTCATGTTGGAGTGTACGTGCTTGTCCATGATACATAAGCTTGTCCTGGGCTCCTGCAGTGATAATGCAGAAAGAGAACTTCCAATCACACAGATTTTTTACTATTTGTGAATGGCTGCTTTTCTTGCTCCTTCTTCTTCTGCAGAATTCAGCAACTGGCAGCACTGACTGTGTGTGCTCACAAGAGCATACAGGAGGGACAGGGAAAATATGAAGCTCCTAAGTCCTAATTACAACCTCAGCAAAAGTCTTGAGAAGCTTTCCAGCTTTGCTTTAACCCATTCCCATTTCTAGATCTGCATGTTGACTAAACCCCTTAAGTCTTAAGGGTGCTCTGCACAGTGGCACAAATCCCTGCTCATTGCCTTTCTCATCATGGCAAAGACAAGATGATCCCTCTCTGCTTGTGCTCTGGCTGCAAACCACTGCTTGGAGATTTCTCACAAGCAGGCCATCGGCTCTAATAATCACTCAGCCCTAATTTTATTCTTTTGCTTTTCGTTTTTTGTTTTGTTTTGTTTTGTTTTTTTTTTTGTTATAACTAGTCACATCTTAAAAGCTGTTGATACTTTCAGCCTCTGGGTGATCCAGGGTGTAATTACAGAGTGTGCAAGGACGTGTTCCCGCTTGTTTGTTTTAGATCTGCCTCCCAGCAGATGCAGTTGGGTGCCAGACACTTCCCGCATTGTGTGAAGCAAGGAGGGTTTGTTTTGGGTTTTTTTTTTTAAACTTCTCTTCACTACTTGCAAAATTATAAACAGGCCCCTCTGCCACCCTTTTTTCTTCAGCATAAAATATTAAACCCCTTCAGAACTGACTGTTGGGGAACAAGGTGTGAAGTCCTTCCTGAGAACAGACCCTTTGCCAGCTCCCAGACCAGCGGGGAGATGAACGTGGATCTGATTTCACAATCCGGGGCTTTCTGCTTATCGTCCTGTTCCCATGGGCTTTTCTGTGGGAAACAAATCTCTGAAAGGGAAAGTTGTCCAATGTGATAATGCGATTTCTCTTAAACACTGGCTACTGAAAGCAGCGGGAGCCCAGGGAAGCCAAAATTGCTTTTGAAAGCTGTTCCAGTGTTGCCTGGGGATTTTGTATGTCTTTATTTTCCATCTCCTCCCAGTAACGTATGGCAATAAAATAAGATCTAGTGTTAGGAAATTGCTCTGGAGTTAACTCAGTTTTTTTTTAAATTTAAAGCGATTCCTGAATGTCTGCGTTCCTGGTACTTTACTCCAAATGTAAGTTCATTTCAGCTTAATGTAATTCCTTGAATGGGCTGAACTAAGTAAGCAAAAAACAGCTGTGTACCAGCATCTGAATATTTCTATCCTGGACCGAGTACTGTGGATTATTTTATTCCACATTAACTATTCCAGCAAATTCTCCTATGAAAAAAAGTGTTTAATGGAACTGTGGAAAGAATTAAAACCTTTTTTTTCCCTAGTAAATCAAAGCATCACTGTAACCTCATTGAATTGCTTCATATTTTCCCAGACCGAGGAACTAAAAGGGTATTTTGGATAGAAAATTCTGTTATGCTGACATTTATAAATGCCAGTCTTTTTACCAACTATCTCTTTTTTGCAAATCCTCTACTCTGTTTAAAAGACCTCATTTTAATTTGAGAAGCAAATCTGCAGAGCTGGAAAGTTGATGTTGCCTGAGAACAGCAGGTATAGGAGTGAGAAAAGCTTCTTGATAACCTGGGGCTGCTCCAGGACAGAAGGAAAGGTGCCTCCACTGCCAGGGCTGCCCCATCAGTCACACCACACCGGCCATGAAAACATGGCAGGCTCTTCTCCAAGGGTTAAAGTTTTAAGTCACAACTTTCACTGCAGTTTGCACTTATGCCTAATTAACTCAAAATTAATGGTCCAGAACCTAGTCCAACAGTTATGCTCAATGGTGCAGAAAAAAAATCTCCCTTTTATGTTCGGGATAATACTTTTTCCTAGAATAGTGTTGGTTAGTCTTGAAGACCAAAGAATTGTAACCATAACTTCGATGTATACATTTATTTTGCTTTTGTTTCTTGTGCAAATTGCTGAGCCCTTCCTAACGTCAGGTATCGCATTTCTTCAATTTCCATGTCTTTACAAGTTCCATTTAAAAAAATAAATAAATAACGCCCTCTTCAACATATTTAGCTGCATTCTTACAAAATCCCCATTCAGATACGCAGGTGGAGTAATGGGAAAGATTAAGTTAATGCTTCTGTGGCTGATTACTTGATTTGAATTTCAGGCTTTTCTGAAGGGCTAAACTTGAGGGGAATATCTGTTTATTCAAACCAGTTGATATTTCATATATGTCTTATTTTAATACTAATGAGTATTTGTATTTTAAACACAGTCTTTACAGATGGTAACTCCTATCCAAGCTGTAACTGATGGGTAGAAATATATGATCAGTCCTTGAAGTAATTGGGATGATTTCCCTTGGCACCAGATCTAGCTATTAATCAATAATTTGGATATATTACCTAATACCAGTTAGAAAGAAAAATGCTTTAATCCACCTACAGAGTGCTCAGGTATCTTGTAATGTAAATCACCATGCTTTATTTTGGGTCTAAATCAAGAGCTGTACCAGTTAGCCTTTTGTATCAGAAACTTCTTACAAGGGCATGTAGTGACAGGACGAGGGGGAATGGTTTTAAACTGAAAGAGAGTAGGTTTAGATTAGATAATAGGAAGAAAGTGCTTACTGTGAGAGTGGTCAGGCACTGACACAGGTTTCCCAGAGAAGATGTGGATGCCCCATCCCTGGAGGTGCTCAAGGCCAGGCTGGATGGAGTTCTGAGCAGCCTGGTATAGTGAAGGTTGTCTCTGCCCATGGCAGGGGGTTGGAAGGAGATGATCTTTAAGGTCCCTTCCAACCCAAACCATTCTATGATAAATGGGGGAAATTTTTGAAGCTGAGACTTTCCAGCAGAGCTGTAGGTCTTGGAGGGCTTGATCCTTACCCTGAAAGAAAGCAAGGTGTCATTACTGCAGGTGTGATGTGACTGAAGTGATGTTGGCTGAGCTTGGTTTCAGACAAACCCGGCTTCTTATGAAAGGTTAATCGGAAACGTAAATGCTGCCTGTGGGAGGAATCTATTTTAGAAAACACACCAGATGCTCCCCCTGGGAGGAAAGTGGCTGCTGCAGAGGTTAATGGAAGGAAAGTTGTGCTGGCAGCATGCAGCTCAAGATGTGCCAGCCAGTAACTGGTGTCATTTGGTGATACTGAAAAGCTACATTTCAAAGACATTTCAAACCAGAAATCTGGCTCCATGGTCATCTCACAGTTTTTTTCTGTCCATTAGATCCAGCTCTTAGTGACCAAGGACAGATTGGGTTCTTAGTTCATGGAAGGATGATGGAGAAAAAAAGACATCCAATACTGCTGACTTCATTTACTCCTGCCAGGGAGAAAATGTGGGTGAAAAGGATTCCCCGAATTTTGTAATGCTGCAGCTATGGCAGTAAATAGAAACGGTCGTTGGGAAAGATTGCAAGAATAGAAGTAATTATCATCAGTCATCAGACTCTGGGAAAGGGAAATAACCTACTACGTCAGCTTATCCAAGTCTTTTGGCGTATCTGAAACTGCAGCAGGAGGCAATCACCGTGCTCCCTTGCTTCATCCCTGTCTCTTTGGGAGAGATTAAACTAGGAACTATGGCTTAGTTAGGAACACACATGTACTCTAAATAAAATTTCATTGAATCTTGGTGAAAGTTAAAGCTGTTCAAGCAAGAACAGTTAAAGTCCTTGCTTTAATCGGAACTGTCTGGCCTCAGTCAAAATGTAAGTCCAGTAACTGCAGTCAGTAACAACATCAGCTGCAGCTGCTGCTGCTGAGTTGTGCCTGCTGCCAGTAAAACCTTTTCTCTGTTACGGGTAGTGCCTGAGAGGGGCAGAATATTTATAAACTACACAGTAAGAAAGGTGGTGCAACAAACTAACTTCAAACTAACCCTCATCTCAAATATACTGGATCCTTGACTAAATCAGAATCCTAACTAGTTTGGGAAGGTATCTCTGTTTGATGGTACTAAAATATTGTAAAAATCAGCACCTTCAGCTGGCTATCTTAATCAATGGTAAAATGTCTCCTGGCAGTGGACTTGTTGTCTAATATTTGCCTTATAAAAATCAATACACTGTAGGCAGTGTTTCCTATCCCATAACAGCATGGGTTTTACTTATTCTGAAAACTGCACTCGTCATCGGAAAGCTAATAAATAAATGAAGATGTACTGCTGGAAGATATGAATTTGCATCAGTGCTTTTCTAGCTCTGTTTGGAAACTAGGTAAGCTGCTCTTGGAAAAGGAGGGTGCTGAGCAGCTTTGTCCATTGACTCTTCTGTCCATTTGCATTATGCCAATGACTCAGATCAGGTCACATTACCAATGTACTGAAATTATTTCCAGGCCATAATTGAACCTTGTACCTCCCAACAAGTCTGTTAAGCGTCAGTAGGTACTCAGGTGATCTGTAATATGAAACCATTTATTGGCTGTTAAACCAGCCAACCAGCCCTTCTCTTTCCTAATGACTGACCCAAGCTGCCCCTTCTGTGTTTGGGCATCACCACATTCACAGCTTTGCTGGTGATATCTACCATTTCAGC